ATAAATATTTATAAATTTATTTAACCCTTAAATAGTCGCGTGGGGGTCTATTAATTTATGCAATTAACTTATAATGGTTAAATGAGTCTTACATATGCCACTGTTTACCACTATCAAAATTCTCGTAGTAGTCCCTACTCATATTTCATAAAAAAAAAAAAATAAAATTTCATTAAAAATGTAAATTCTTAAATTTTTATATTTTTTAACATCAGCTAATGTTTATTTTGTAATATCCAGGGGAAAATATCATTGCCGATTAATTATTGGGAGGGTTGATAAGTGGATTACCCCTTCTTGGTCCTTGCTTTTTTTAAACAATATAGTAAAAAAGTATTTAGCAAGCATATTCTACTTCAGTACAGTGGAAATATGGTTGGATTGATTATAGCATAGTTGAGACAAAAAAAGATAAAATCTGATAGAGATTAACATAATTATCATAAAACAATTTCGATGAAAAACTTATTAATCCTTTCAGGAAAGACGATTTAGATAAGCTTTAGGTTTTTATTTCATATAGGTTTGAAGAATGAAGCCGTTCTGTATCATATTCAAAATTCACTAACAAAGTTTTTTTGCAAGGATTACGAATTTTTTTTATCATAAACCACTCAATTACTAACAGAATAAAAATATTTTTTGTTGGATATGCTTTAATAGCAAAATAATAAAAACAATAATTGACATGTGAACTATGTATATACAGACACAATAATCATAAATAATAATTACAAAAAATAAAAACACTTGTGAAGGAACCATACAATATAATAGTTTGATAATAACAAAATTTGATGAACTAGATATCTAATCTATTTTTAGACTATTAAAATACTATAATTTACTTCTCATTAGCCCTACTGAGTAGCTGGTTTTATGCACGCGACGCACCTTTGTGGTCCGTAATTATACAAAAATATGATTAACAAGGGTGACCCCACGAGGGCACGACTACGACAGATAAGACTTAGCAAACGATGACTTAAAAATGATATTTTATATATTTCTATTATAATAAAATGTAAATACTAACTTATATTAAATTAATATTAGTGGATTTTTTGGAACTACTAGTATTTCTCTATTATATTTTTTTTTATTTGAGAATTAGTAAATAAAATTTACTTGCAATGAACTAACAATAATTATTCTAACGTACAAAATAAGTTAAATAAAATAGATACAAGAAGAATTATTCTTAAAATTAAAAAAAATTATACAGTTAGTTAAATATTAAATTAATATCTGTCTTTTATTTTAAATAATTGCTATTTTCTACTATATTTTAGCTTCAATGCGAAAAGTTATAAATTTTACCATGTTGTGATTAGTTTTTACTTAAAATTACTATAATTTTTTTTAAAAAATGTATCAATAAACACAAATAAATTTTTTTATACATTATTAATTATACCTCTTTCACTTATTTTTAAATCGGAACATTTCCCCTTACCCATAATGGGTTCAAAACATGAAACATGAGTATAGAAGATATTTTCAATTTAACTTTTGAAAATGTTCCGAAAATTCTCCGAACATCAAATATACATTAAATTTTAGCTTATGTTAGGTACTATAATTTAAAAAAAAATTTATCTCGACGACCTATCTTTTATGTGCAAAAGACTGCCGAATTTGAATAAAAATGTAATTTTCATATAAAAAATCACAATTTATCATGTCATCATTTTAACACATAAAACTGGCATTTATTTTTTAAAAATGGACGAAACAATATAAATTTTTTTTATATATATTTCTTTGGTGTTTTTCTTTCATTTGACATATATTTTTTTAAAATCTGATTCTTTATTTGATCACAGAGGGAATTCAAAATAGCAATTTTTCTAGAAAAGTAATCTTTTTCAATTTAACTTTTAAAAATGTTCCATAAATACCGTAATCTTAAATCATATATTAAAATAAAATCTATATTTCATACTATTATTAAAAAAAAAATTGTACTGAAAAATATCTTTTATAAGTATACGAAACTCGAACTTAAACAAAAAATGATATTTTGGTGTGAAAAAATGACCATTTTTCTATTTCATTTTTTTTCCATTAATATTATATTATTAATATTATTCCATATATATATTTGTTGAGTTTTAAAATTATCTAGTCATTATTTTTTTATTCATAGTTTAAGTTACTTCTGTTACCTGTCTCACACACCCTCTTGTTTCCTGTAGACAACCTCGTCGGCTTCAAGTAAGGTCGCGTGTGAGCAGACTATCCTAATCAAAAATACAGTCCACTCATTTCCTAAAAGAGTTAACAGGTGCCGAGTTAAGCGGCATACTATTTGCAGCCCTCGCCCTAACTATATTACTGAGTTGATATTTATTACTATTGAGTCAGAAAAGCTAAATTTATTATCATTGGTTTATTTTATTGATTTGAGCCACATGGGTTATTTAATAATTGAAATTTATATCATTGTTGATTTTTTTATAGTTTAAATTTGTTAGTTTTCTGAGATGTCTTTTTTTTTTAATAATTGTTATTGTTGAAATTGTTTATTTTTCCTTGGTTTCATTTTGTCATTAATAATATTAATTACTGCTATTGAGCCAGAAGGGCTATCTTTTTATATTTTATTTATTACTGAGCCAATGGGGCTAAAGTTATTTTATTATTATTATTGTTTATTGCTGTATTATTGAAAATGTATATTATAAGGTATTTAGAACCCCATAATATATCCAAATGTGAGCCTATAGGTTTGCTAATGATTATCCAATGAATTTTATTTTATTTTTTTGCCCTCCCTTAAAATTTATTTATACTCGCCACTGAAGAAAATATGTATTGTATTTATTCAAATGTAATATTTTTACTAAAATAACTGGTCCAATTATAGAACACCGCTCAAAAAGTGAACATTACAAACTTATAATGTATAAAACAACAATTTTATATTGTTCTTGTATAAAAAGGATAAGTGCGATTAGAAACAATCATAAAAGATTATTAAAATTATTTCCGCGAAATTTGTAATTATTTTGTTAATATATTCAAAACTATTTTCATAAAAAATTTGGAAAAATTGATATTTTTCTTCAATTATTTATTTCATTTGACAATCAATAAAAGTAATTAATTTGCGATAATCTATGAATAATAACTATAACGTGTAACATTTATCGTACAGTAGAATTCCGATAATCCGGCACGTTCGGGACCGGCTCCGTGCTGGACTACCGAAAATTCCGGTCTATTGGGCGGTGCCGTTTTCTTTTAGTGTAGGCTTTGCTATGAGAACAATTAGGTTAATAATTAAACTAAAAACACAATATACAAATACAAAAAAATTTGTTTTACATTTCATATAATTTATGTGCAAGTACTGTAATCCATATTTCATTTAGATTTAAAAAAGTCACGAATGTCTTTTTGTTTTCTTGACTTTTGGCGTTTAGTATAAAATTTATATCTAATAATTATAAAGATCAATAATTTCTGAAGCACTGTAGCTAGTACTGAGACACAGTTTACTACAATGTAAAAGGACACAAAACAACAACGCACAAAAAAATAGAGAAGACGCTTCGTGATCGATTAACTGTACTGCACTGCACCTGTATTTGTTGTGATAACTGAGACTAGCCGGCCGCTAATTGTTTCCGAACAATACTGTTGTGGCCGTGTAATACAACTTCCTGTTATCAAATTTTAAGCGCACGTTCAGTGTACTCGGACCGGTCTAATTTTGTCATATGTGTATATATGATAAAATTAGACCGGTCCGAGTACTACTATGTCCACTACTACTATGTATTGTTGGTTATTAGTTTTCTGCTCTATTGTAAATTCGTCCGGATGATCCCGAATACCCTGAAAACTTCCCAATAGCTCCTGATCGTTTTTATTTGCTTTTAAGGCATTTTTTTGGAGAAAACCAAAATTTTTACAATTTTCAGGAGCGATGCCGGACTATCGGGCATTCCAGACTGTTGGATGCCGGATTATCGGACCTCTACTCTATGTCAATTAAATTTGATCAATATAAGTATTATTTGAAATGCTTACAATTTAAATATGCATTTTAAAATAATTTTATCTATTAATTTAAATTATTTTCAAGAAATTTGTCAATGTTTGGTTAATATATTCAAAAATATTTCCAAAAAAATTCCCAAACACTACTATATATTTTTAATTCAATAAATTCATCTTGTCCTAAGTGTCAAATTGTACTGCTGTCCCATTTAAAATAAAAATTAAAAAACATTTTAATAATAAATCATAAACTTGGTAAAATTTTAAATTAATATCTGAAAATTTAAAAATATTTAATGTCATTTTAAATCTTAGTTTAAAAATTTAATAATTATTTATGTTTAACACAATAACACATCTCTCTTATTATGGTATATTTTTTTGATAAATGTCAATTTATTTAATCAGCTTTAAAAATGAATTTAAAACATATTCATATATTTAAAATATTTCAATTTACTTTTTTTCTGTCATTGCTTAAGTTTAATTATTCCTTAAATTTATGAAAAATATAACATTAAAATAGATGATGAACATATTGATTTCTTATATTTTTTCTCTTAACTATTAAATTATGTTACATTAATAATACCCAGCATTAATAAATGTGTTTTGGTCTTAATAATAGCACTATATTCTATAATCTATTACTATTATGATAAAATGTAAATACCAACTAATATAATAAAATAATGAAAAACATTTTAATCATATTTAATTTATGATAAATTATATAGTTACTTAAATATTAAATTAATGTCAGTGATTTTTTTTAAAAAATTGGCACCTGTAAAATAAATAAAATTAAAATGAATAAAATTTCCCTATTAACAGTTATTATTAATGTACAGAATATTTTTAAATGTCAATTAAATTTGATTTATACAAGTATCACTCGAAATTCTTACAATTTAAATATATTTTTTTTTAATAACCATATTTTATATTATTCAAAATAGACTGAATTGTTCTATATAAATTAAATTAATTTAGAAATAAAAACTATATTTCACGTTTACTTGTTACTATTGATATTATATTGCCAGTGCTGGACTTTCATTACTGTTGCTGTTATAATAATCATTAAAAATGTGTTTCTACTTTTGTTTTGGAATTTTACTTGGTTTTATTAATTTAATTACCATACCAAAGTTTTCAACCGGAATGCCATGCTCAGGTGGATCAACTTCTAACAATATGTCAGAACAAGTATTTATAGTAATTATTAATATATACTTATTATTATTATATAAAAGCTTGGGTAAATTTTTTATACATATAACAATCATTGATACTCTGCTTAGAAAATATAATACAGAATAATTCGTTTTAACATACAAATATATAAAAATATATAAAATATTATATTTGTTTTTATTATATATTTCATAATTTATTAGTTACTTTTTAGATCATACCTTATAACTTATAGAAATGTCAACTTATTTTTTTGATGTGGCAACATACATATTTAACTAGCTTCCCACTGTACAATCGTATATTCCTACAATGTTTTTGAAACGTTACTTTGTAATCTGTACATTTGTAATTTGTTACATTTCATGTTAAATACGCATTAAAGTAATATGTATAGAACTGCTTATGTACCGAAAAGTGACTTCAATTGAAATATTAATACAATGTTTTATCTTAACATTTCATTATGTTAATTTATGTCATTATGTTATACAAACATTTAATGTTCCAAAATTTTTTTTTTTTTTTTTTTTTTTTAATATATACACAATCTATACACAAACGGCACAATAAGAGTATTAGCTAAGATAAACAAGAATGAAATATTGAGTGAAGAAGCCACCCACCGATGACACTTTCGTCTTTTAATTATTTTGTTTTGTCCTTATACGCAATTTTTTTTTTTTTTTTTTTTTTTATGGATTGAGTAGGTCTCTGCACCATTTACGCTTAAGGCGGCGAGGAGGGTTACCAGGGATGGTTAATGAAGATAGATTTTTTATGAGCTCGTTTGGATGAGAGCTAAGGCGTAGGTGGAAACGTTTATAATAATTTTTTGCCTCTTCTTGAATTGTTTTCATACGTAAATCTTTATGCAGAGAGTGATTTGACACATATGGTGGACAATTGGTAATTTTTCTTAGTATTTTATTTTGGAACCGTTGAATTTTATTTAGGTTAGAAATTTTTGCGTTGCCCCAAAGCTGTAAGCCGTACGTCCAGATTGGCTTTAGGAGAGATTTGTAAAGGAATGTTCCAAAATAAAATAATAATTAATAATAAATCAATATGTCATACACAGTTTCAACTAATAACATTACATTATATTATGTAAATTTTCAACATTTTGAAACATAAGTTTATTCTTTATTGGCCAATTGGACAAAAAATCACTATCAAAATTAAAATTTGCTGCTGGTATATTATTCATTGATACAATTTTAGTTATCATTTTTTCAAATTGATCTACTTTTGAAAACAGACGGTCATACATTATTCGATTTTGAATTTGTTCCATATAAATTGAATTCAATAAATTTAATATTTTATTTTGATCACCTGTCTGATTGACATCTACAAAATTATAAATAAAGACACTACATGACATTTAGAATAATTAAAAAAACATTTTTTTATATATTTTTGAACTGAACGATTTTATACCTGATTCAACATTTCTAAAACTATTGACCGAACTTAAATTATATAAATTATTCAGTGTGTTTGCTTTTAAGACAGTAGACTGTTCTCCTAAGTGAACAATTATTTAAAAACTTTTATAGGCGATAAGTAATATTCTAAGTGAAAATAGAATGAAATAATAATAATTAATAATATAATTTTAAGGCAGACACTCTGTATATATAATACAGACCACAGTGCGGCATAAAGATAATTATAATAACTATAATTAAAAATAATTATAGGTTTTAATGCAATTAATATTTTCATAGCTTAAAGTAATTTAAAAGAATACACATAGATTTACCTGTTTACAAATTTGATGGTCCATGTTGAGATGAAAATGAACAATTAACAGCACAAGACGGTCGCTCGCTATGAGAGATTAGAAGATTGGGGGTTGGGCTTCAATAAGACACGTCGGAAAACCACAAACTCTATGTTTAATTCTATCTCTAATATGTGTCATTGTATTTTGGAGCAATAGAAATATTAAGTAAAAAAAAACATTGCCTTTTGTTATGTAAATAATGTTACTAAATAATAAAACTAAACATAATATCAACAAAACAATTATACGATGTTGCATTAATGTTACTTGGTAATGTTTTTTGGTAAACAAAAATCAACATAACCGCAACATTTTGTAACTTAAACTGCACAGTGAGTTATTACATAATATAAAGAACTGGTCGATAACTGATGATTTCTCATAATATAGTAATTATGTTAAAAAATGCTTTTTGGTAATTTTTATTTTCATATACTCCTCGATTTTATTAATTATTAAATATTTTTTAAATTTATTCCTAATTCGTTATAAGGGATCTTTTTGTTTTTGTTAAAATTCTCAATGAACTGTTATCACAAAATACCATAAATAGAGTGTGATGGATGCTCTACCTTGTGTAAAATATGTCAAATGTCGTTATAACCTAACCGCATGAGTAGCCTAAGCTTGCTTGAAGTTCTTGAGGATATATCCATGTTTACAATTGAGTCCGAAACGTCAGAACTCAACTGTAAACATGGATATATCCTCAAGCACTTCAAGCAACAAGACAATCCTTGAAAGTTTTAACACATTCATAGCCCAAGCTTGTTTAGGTTAGTCGTGGTATCCGCAGAGTACCGACGGTACATAACAGTAGGGCATTCGCCTTATGCCGGGTTCCCACTACTCCGTCTATTTGCCGAATATTAGTTATTTGTTTCTTAAGCAGTGCGAACAGTGTACTCGTGCGATTATTCGGTATTCGTTCATCGGTATTCGTTATTCGTCATCTTCCCGATGGTTGTCGGTATTAGTAACACGAATCAAAGGGATTATAAATATTTGTCCAAACGGTCCAATCGACTATGTATTTTATTTTAACGAATATTCGATCAGAATCAACACTTTATTTATTTAAATAAATTGTTATAGTTAATTAAATTATTTGTTTTAATTAGTTAATTAAATACATTTTCTACTGAATTACATTATTATTCAGTGATCTTTTTACGGCTAGCCCGTAACCAAGTACCCTTAAAATAATTTTTTTTTGGATTTTGTTAGTTACATATGTATTTTTATATATCTGTTATAAAATAATTTTTAGGTCCATTCCTTATATTTTATACAGAGTGTGCAACTTTATTTGTTTAAACGGCAACATATTAAACTGGTTATAACAGAAAATTATCCAATTAAGAAAATGACTGTAGATAATAACTTTTGGACCAATAATTTGGAAGTTATGAGCATTTTAAAATATAGTAGTGATGGTGAAGCGCAGATGCTGCTATTTTTAATCATTAGCCATTCTTCGGCCACACTTCTCTTGCCACCCAGGTACAAAAATTAGAATATCTTCTGAAGCATTGGTCTAAAAGTTGTTATTTTAAATTACAATAATTTTTTAAATTACAAATATTAAAATCGTTTTGTATTTTATAAGTTGAATAACACAATATTTATTTTAATTATTGATTTAATAATATACTGTGAATAAAAGCAACAATTTTTTATGATTCAATAATTTAACCATCATTATTTAGAAGCTTAAAATAATATTATGATATCCAAATTTTATTTAACTTACAAATTTGATCAATTTTTATCGAGTAAAATTAAACTAACACGATAATGTAATAGTCGTAACAATGTTATTACTGGGAAGGCCAAATAATCAATAAAGATATACGAGTATTCATTATATTGTAAAAATGATTTAATTGTAGTGCCAAATGATTTGATGGTTAATACTCTCTCTAAGTAATCTACGTGTTCACATAGGTTTTTTTAAGCGCACTAACATTTTATTTTGAAGTTACAATTTTTCTCAACACCGTATCTTGTCTTGATATACAGGATGATTTTTTTATCATAACCCACTCAATTACTTGCAGAATAATAATAATTTAAACATTTTTTTTTTTTATTATCTTTAGTTACACATTATTCTTGAATTTTTAACTATGTAATACTTTTTAAGTTCATCCCTTATGCCTTGGAGGGGGTCAACTTTGTTTTTTTAAATGGTAACGCATATTTTTAATTTAATAAAATGTTTGAGTTTTTAATTTAATAGTAAATGGCATTTGAATTTTTAATATAACTTTATTAGCTTATTAGATATAAACATTTAAAGTTTCAAAATTTTGAGTTAATATACATGTATAATACACATGGAATTTGTAAATATAGGTAGCTAATTAGATTTTTATGACATTGCTGTCTCAGTCACGGATTGTTTACTATCAATTATGATTATTAATAGATATATTTTCTGTATTGTCAGTTAGTGTATTTATAAACTCATAACAATGTGCCTAACTACAATTGATAATAACAATGCTGTGTATTTGCTAATATCGATGTCATAAAAAATCAATTAGCTACCTGTATTTGTAATCTCTTGTGTATTATACCTATACAGGGTGTTCAGTAAGTCAGGAAACGGGTTTCTATTATTCTCATTGTTTGTAACAATGAAAACAATATACAGGGTACTGAACACTCTGTATATTAACTCAAAAATTTGAAACTTTAAATGTTTATATCTCATAATAAACAATAAAAATTTGTTAATATATATATGTATAATAATGATGACACGCACGCGTATACGGGTACAAAAACCAAAAATAAAATTATACAGTAATAGTGCGGTGAGCGGAGTGGGGTGAATGCGTTACGACAGTCTAGTCTCAAAGCCATAGATGACGGGATATGCGAGAATAATAATACGTGAGCGTGGAGAGATACGCAAAGGTGAACTCATATAAGCGTGTTAAAAAGGACTTTTATTGTATATTTCCTAAAATTAATTTTAGCTTCGATACAAAGCTGAGAAGATATTAATTTTACTTTGATGTTTTTTTTTATTATTTTGTGTCTATGAACGCTCAATATCAGCTCTCATTATGAACAATACGTCGAAAGATCACAAATTGTATTTAATCGAAGACATTACCCTCAAAAATTGAAAAAAAATTCCACTTTATCAATCAAAAAGTTTCTTAGCCTACATTCTCCATGTAAAAAATTAAAATTATTCATTTCTATTATTTTTAAAGTTTTTATTGACGAATTAAGTTTGATATTAGGTTTCAACTATAAAATTATGTCCATACTGTGCTGCGACCGAATGTGCTACCGTTTTTAAATTTTAACTTTATAAATATTTATTAATTTACTTTAATAATTGTCATAAACTAATTTGTAACTTAGCACTGATATATTTTTAGGTTGAGTATCCCATAGCAACTTTTTATTCGAATTTTTTGAGATGGAAAATAATGAATATTTTACGTAATAATGAAAATATTAATGAATTTTATGATAATACAGTGAAGTCACCTATATTTAATGACGACATGAGAGGTGAATTGTCGCGGATAATTGAAGAGATAGCTGAATCAGGTATTTGAGAATTATTTATTAGCATCGACGCGAAACTGAAAAGGTATTAAATTTACTATAATGTGTTTATTTTTTTGTGTCTCTTATCACTCATTTTTTATAGATACCTTAGGTATTTACCTAAAAATAAGGATTCAAAATGACAACTTTTTCATAAAAAAATAAACTTTTTTAACTTAACTTTTGAAAATGTCCAGGAAATTCTGGCACTTTTATATATATCTTATAGCTAATATAATATACATTATAATGAAAATATAAATTTTCGGACTTTAATTTATCTTCACGGTGAAAATAGCTACCGAATGCTATTTTTGTGTGAAAATTCTCGATTTTATATTTTACATTTTTTTTTAACTTTATAATGCTATAACTTTTTGAAACATGTATGAATCAATACAAATTTTTCATGAAAAGTATTATTTATATATTTCTTTCATTCGACATACTTTTTTTGTGAAATGTATCATACAAGAGGTATAGCCGTATTTAGTGGGTGGGCGATGCGATGGGCCGTGTTTCATAAAAAATATATATATATATAAATACATTTTTTATGATATATTACATATTTTATGAATATATATTTCGCACTTGAGTCGCCTTACTATACATATATATGTATGTATTTATATATATATATTCGTTTATATATTCTTAGAGCCGCCGCATATGCCTCGCGTACAACGTTCCCCCGCGCCCGCCCACAAAATACGGCTATACCTCGCGCATGATACGTTTACGTACTTAAGTCACTTTACATGTATATATATATTCTAATTACTATTAAAAATTATATATTAACACGCTTTATTCTCATTAAGAGATATAAAGTGTATTCATTCCGATTACGGGGAATATTCCCAAATCGTCATTTTTCGTCACTACCTCCAAGTTCCGGGAGTGGGTAATATGCGCGTCTGCTGCTTTCCTTGGATGTGATAGCCGTTTCTCAGACTCCCTCTCCGGAATCGAACCCTGATTTCCCGTTACCCATTACAACCATGATATTGATAGTAACTACTATCATAACATGAAACTAAAAAGTGAAAAATAAATATAGTTTAAAAAAACTAAAAAAACACGCTTTTAACCCTTAAACAGTCGCATGGAGGTCTAGCATACCCCCACATAAATAAAAACGGATGTAATATATTGCATAAAAGGTGTACATAGAAGATATAAATTTAGAAGATGGTTTTTATTATAATATTGAATAGATTTTCATAAATATATACATTCGAAAAAAAATGTATGACTTAAAATATTCATCAAAATTGAAATGGGTCATATTTACCCCCACGCGACTTGTAACGTTATAATTTTTTTTTGGACATAATTTTGTAATTTATTTATTTTTTAATTTTAATTTTTTTTTTTTATCCATATTTATATATCATATGGTAACAAATAATGTCTTTGAATTAAAAAAAATTAACTTTTTTATACATATTTTATACTTTTTTAGAAATGGGGTTAATAGACTCCCACGCGACTATGAACGTTGAAAATAGGTACGCGTCTGCTTAAGGGTTAAAGCACATCGAACTAAAAAGTAGAAAATAATTTTTAAAATAAGCTTAAAACAATAATGAATGAAAAATACTAGTATTATTGTGATAAAAGTGTGGGGGCTTTGTGCCATATTTTTCGTATATTGAGCGCCCGACGCTTTTATCACAATAATACTAGTATTTTTCGTTCATTATTGTTTTAAGCTTATTTTAAAAATTATTTTTTACATTTTAGTTCGATGTGCTTTAAAAGCGTGTTTTTTTAAACTATTTATTTTTTAAAATATATTTTCTAAATTACATAAATTTTAAGTCAAGATAAATATTTTCGAATAAAAAATTAAATGGGATTGGTTCTTTTTTTAAATACATCAATGCAAGTATAGATGTCAGTGATTCAAATCACTATTAAAAGCAACGTTTCGATGTAAATCTGTAGATAATGTTTCATTCTAAGAAATTGGTGGGGAATTACAAAATTATAAATTATAGACATTTTATCTCTCAAGGGAGTTTCAAGCATCTTGAAAATCTCCTGGCCGCGTCCGGTATTCATTTCGATTTGTCAGTGAAAAACGGGCTACAGTTTTTTAAAGACACGGCATTTACTTGGTGGGAGTCCATAAAGTTGAAAAACATGTCCTGGCGCTCATTCTCAAGGAAGTTTCTCATGGCGTTCGATAACAGCATCCAAGCAGAGCTGAAGAACGACCTCATTTTTCAAAAAGTTATGGCAGTATCAAGTATTAAAAAACCTAGGTTCAAAAGTTAAATTTTAGTGCAAAAATTGTCATTTTAGATTCCCTTCTGTGGACAGGTAAAAGGTCATGTTTTCAAAAAAAAATTACCTTTTATAAATGACTATGTTAAAATGTGAAAATATGAATTTCATGTATAAAAGGAAATGATTCGATTAAAAAATAGTATGTCTGATGAAAGAGAAATTTATAAAGTATTTTTAAAAAAAATTATATTGATTGATATTTTTTTCATATGTATTTCAAATGCCCATTGACGAATACATTGTAATGTAGATATGTATAAGGTATGAACTAGTCATTGATACTTTGAATACATAACTCGTGCTGAAGTGCGAGTCCAATTTAGCCTTTTTTCTAATATTTAATTACCCTATCTAGACGTCGGCCTGACCTAGTTGGTAGAAATGTATGTTTTGTCACAGGGGGTCCCGGGTTCCCCATGATGCCAACGAAGTTTTTCTTATGATTTTCTCATTGATGGTGTCTGGTCTTTGATGCAAGCCGGCCATAATACCAGCTCCGTCCATCATTGGCGTAGCCAAAAACTATCTTTGACTCCCTAACATGTAAAAAAGAGCTCCTTCTGTAGCATGTTAAGTTCAGAAACTTGAAGGATGTAAAACTGATCATTATTACTTACCTCATCTCAGTATATTGTCGTCAGAACTCTTTACAATATGAATTTTATTGTGTACAAGTAATATGTTAATCAATTTTTATTGATATATATATATATACATATATTAGATGTTAAATGCAATTTTACATATTACGACAATAAATCTTATTAAAAACCAAAAACTTAATAAAAAGTGCAAAAAAAAGTGTTATTAATTTATAATAATAACCAAAAAAGTAATTTTTGAAAAAATATTTAATCTCTAATCTCAAAACTTTTAATTTTCATGCCGCGATTATATTATTATATTTATACGATGTATAGTAATATTTAGTAATGAAGTGTAAATAAACTATTCTATTTTTCACTAAAAAATATAATATTATAAAAAAATTATTATTATTATTATTTAGTTGCATAATAATAATTCAACTATAACAGAATAATTGGTTGAGGATGAGACACTCATTTTTTCAAAAAATATTGAGAACTTTACATTTTTGTAACAGACAAAATTGTTTAATTGAAAAACTATACTTTATTGCTAAATACAACTCTAACATATTATGGAGTCAATATAATTTGATGTAATAACAGACTTCTAAATAAATTCTAAAAAACATAATAAATCTTATTCATATATCTGATTTTTTTCATACAAGTATTCAGTGAGGGGGTTTCTTTATTTTTATTCATCATAATAATTTCAAGTTATGTGAGTGATAAAATTTTTATAGGAAAGTTTTGAGGATGACACTAGAAAATTAAAAATAATAATTATTTTCATACAATTCAATGAAAAATGAGAAGAATAACTCGTCAATAATCTATTATCTTATTATTATTATATATAATCTTATATTTGAGTCATCCAGTTATAATGTATTATATTTTATAAATGTCCAAATTGTTTTTTTCTTCGTCAATTATCTAATAATTAGAAAACAAATTAAGATACAAGTCCTACTTTAACGGGATGACAAAAATATTAGATTATAATTTTTTAGATTTTATGATGGTCGAAAGTAATGTTTCTTTATGCTCTCTATTTTTATACTGCGATTTAGATTAATATTCTATATTGATAGAGATTTTTTGGTATTTTCTTAGATGATCAAACGAGCACAATAAATAAATGTATATCTGATATACATTCATCTATAAAACAAAAAGAACAAAGTTTAAAAGACGAATTAAGTCAAGGTGATAAAAAGAATGATGGCACCGTCACAAAAGAATATGCAAAACAATGTCTTTTAAATACTTCATTCTTAGTAGATCCTCTTAATTCTGAACAAATATGTGACTTTGTAATCGACAACAATTTAAATGACGAACATCAAGTCGTTTACGATAGTAATTATCATAAATTTGTTTGAAAACTATAAAAATATTTAAAACATTTTTAACAATTAAATTTTTATTAAAATACCATTATTTTAAAAAAAGTGTTATTAGGGATAGAACTTATTTTGGAGTAATTATATTAGCATGCTTTTAAGCGTGTAGGTATGATAAGTGTAAGTTCATGACTCTTAAATTACTTATTAATGAGTTATGATAAATATCATACTAATGAATAAAAATTTACTATGGAGTTACAGATAATTATTATTTTTTGATTTACAATTAATCTTAATAACATAATTTACTTTTATCAAACATTTTACAATTATTTAATAATAATTATTGTATGTAGTCAATTATTGCTAACAATTTTGTGTTTGATTAATAACACGCTACTTAGTTACACTTCAAACCATTGTTTTGTAAATTTATTATTCTTTATTATAACATAGGTATAATTAGGATGTATATTCGAAAGGCTTTTCTCAAAATATTACTCTTTGGTCAAGGAAATTCGACGACTTTGTCATTTTTAAGTAAAAAGTGAATTTAGTAATATAATTGTTCTCAATGCGGTACTTAATACATATATGTTACAAGACAAAAAAATAAAAAAATTGTTTTAACTTTTGAATAATTTTAATGGGAATATTTAAAACTTATGTTCACCAACTTACACCCGGGTAACTTCTATATTTTTTTGGGGAGAATATCAACATTTTGTATAATAATAATAAATTTACAATTTTATTTTGTTTCAGATCTGCTTAAAAACTTTATGGTTAATATGAAACAATATTTTTCGTCAAATCGCAATAATTAGAATGATACATAAATACTAATAAATACTTGAAGTAGCTTCTACTCATAGTTTATAAAAATATAGTAAAACTTCATTAAAACTTTTTGTTCCATAATATAATTATTCATAAATGTTTAAATTGTTGTAAATAAATTTATGTTTTATTTATAACATGTATCATATTTATTATTACATTTTTTTGGCCAAGTGGCCATAGAAATTAATAATCAAAAATATTATAATTGTTATAGAGCAGAATAGTAACAAAAAATATACATTTTACAAGACTGGCGATATAAAGTCAATTCTATGCTAAATAAAGCTTAATTAATTTTTTGCAAGACTATTGTCAGAACTATTGTGGTTTGTAATTATAATATACTATACCTACGTCGATGACAACTCTTCGGTTTACTATTCAGTATTTTTTATTCGTGAAACTTCAAAAATCTTAAAAATGAAAATGTTGAGTTCTAAGTTAAAAGTAATCATTTTTAACTACTTTTTTTTGTTCTTTAAAGTGAAAGTTTATAATAAAAAAAAAAAAGTGAATATATTTAGCTCAACTTGCAAGTTTGAAATTGACATCATTAAATAGAGAAAAATGGTGTTGTTAAGATTAATATGCAATCAGGAAATTTTATAATTACTATTTACAGTAAATTTTTCATTTCATCCGTTGTTAAATTCAGGTTGGGTTTATGTGGGCAGGTTTAGAGACAGATTTTCAAAAAATTTATATTAAATAAAAGAAAAATATCTAAAGTTTCAATATAAAAAAATGATTTTAATTTGTTCATTTTTCAAATAGTTATGGCAGTTTTAAGTATTAAAATATTTTATGTTTAACAGTGATTTTTACATAAAAATTACATTATCTCATAGAAGAAAAGGTGTTGGGACAAATTGTTTTTTTTTGAACTTATAGTATTTATTGTAAGCTTTAATTTGACATATGTATATAGGTTGCAGAATTTCTGGAAAATTTTAAAAATATAATTTGAAAAAATTGACTTTTATGTGTGTAAACAAATATATAATATTCTTTTTGAAAACAATATTCAATAGAACTATAATATCATGAAAAAACTAATCTATACTTATAATAAGTAAACACGTGTTGAATTTTATAAAATCAAGGAAAATACACAATAAAATAGGATTGTTTTATTACTGTAAAAATAATAAATATTTTCGTTATTTTATATACTTTAATATTCCTTACCAAATAATCTTTAATATGTCTCACAATTTATAAAAACAGAATGCATATTTAATTGTACAGTAATTGTAACGAAAAAGACACCATAGACAGCAGAATCATGTAAAGTGAAATGAACTCACTTAACCTAAGCACAGTCATCTCCTGTTAATTACAAATTATAGACATTTTATCTCTCAAGGGAGTTTCTGAAGCATCTTGAAAATCTCCTGGCCCCGTCCGGTATTCATTTCGATTTGTCAGTGAAAAACGGGCTACAGTTTTTAAAAGACACGGCATTTACTTGGTGGGAGTCCATAAAGTTGAAAAACATGTCCTGGCGCCCATTCTCAAGGGAGTTTCTCATGGCGTTCGATAACAGCATCCAAGCAGAGCTGAAAAACAACCTCATGACCATTCAATATCAGCGATCGACGGAGTTCATTATAATTAAACAACAGCAAGTAATGCGGACTCGCCCAAGTTGTTTAGAGCAGCACATCTGGTTAGTTAGTTTTTTGCGCGACCAATATTACCGCAACGTAAAAATGTGATGGCCGCGTTCATTAGACAATCTGCGCGTAATCGCAAACGATATCGACACACCATTACGCACTGGTACACTAAAAGTCAACATAAATCCGTACGTGCCGCCTCCTGCACCACCCCAATCGTCACAGGCCATCCGACAGCGAGCGGGCGTCCCTAACACAGAACGTTGTCCCGACGCTGCCGATTGTACTCCCGCCGTGTAACTGAAATTTGACAACGGGTTTGTGACGGCATTAGAGCGTTTATGCGATGGGTGTGTTTTTAATAACATAGGGACGCACAAAGCTTATCGAACTCGATATCGTTGTAAAAGACCCGACACCCATCACGTTAAAACCATACCTATACTCTCTGCAAAAACAAGAGGCGATGGACAATATGAAAGGTGGCCGTGTGTGGGTCCTTTGTGCATTAGTCCTTATGAATGGGCTATTGTCGGCACTTTGACGCTAGTAAATCATGTAATGCCGTCACAAAACCGTTGTTATTTTTACGGCAGAAGTTATATTTTTCTTGGGCGTATTAATTAAATGTAACGGTAAATTTAAAATGTTTAAAAATAAAATAATTATAATTATTACTATATAATTATATGCAAATTTGATTATTAAAATATAAAAAATTTCAAATTGATAATATCCTACAAAAGTATACTTATGAAAGTTACCAAATGCGATCGACTCAGCAGACTCTTTATTTAAAAATAAAGCAGAAACAAATAATCAATATAAATATTTTTATAAAAATATTTCAAAGTCCAAAATTAGCAGTGAAACGGTCATAGTGATACGCATGACTTGAGACGTTTGAACTGCGGTGGTTTGTGCTCCGTGACTATACCGCCCTAATGTAACTGCACTCTAACGATGATTTTGCACCTAATATCATATGTTATTAAATGGATAGAAAATTCTTGTTTAAATTTAAGATAACGTTAACTTAACGCATAATATGATAGTATTTTTACGAGTTTGTATGTTATGTTGATTTATTACCTTGGGTCGTCTACATCAAAAATAATATTTAATAGTCTTTGTTTAAAAAAAATGATACAATATACAATTTTATAAAATATAAATTATATTAATTTACGACCTTATAAATTGTAATACTGATTGGCCTGATCTACTATTCCTTGCTTGATTTTTTACCTCAGTCAATTCCATTCACTAAATCTCAATCTTTATATTATTTTACTAATTTTAAAACTAAGATGTAACACACGTGGAAAAAGATTTTTAAAGTATTATATAGTGAGGGGTTGAGTGGACAGAATTTTGGGGTGAATGTTCTTGTGTCTGAGTCAATGTTGTTAATCGAAAACAAATGTGTGCACGTGTTGCTCCCCAAGACTAAAGAAATGAATATTATTAAATAGTTTGTTACATTCAACCTAATATTTTCGTGCACAACACGACTTATTCATATAATCATGGTTTTAGTGAAGTGATTTGTATTTTATCAATATTAATTTATAGAAATTGTGAATAATTTTATTTAAATTATGTATTTATTTTAAATAATAAAAAATTATACCAGTATGAAACTATTTGACTGCTTTTATTGTTGGTTCAAAACCGTTTCCAATTGTTATGAAAATAAATAGATTATTTAAAGTGATGATGTTTAAAATAAAAATTAAATAATATAATGGATAATTAAATGAAATTGTAAGTTATAATTTTTAATAGAATACTTTTATATAGATTATTTTATTTTATATTGATTTAGATTATTGGTATAGATTATTTAAATTATTTACAGTTATAAATATTTTATATTTCGAAATAATGTTTCGTAAAAAAATTAATCATTGGTATCGGGGCTTGTTTTACTTAAATAAAAGTTAGTTTAATAAAGAATTTTGTTTAAATAATATTAACATTATAAGTAGAAAAGAATTTTAATAAAAAAAGAAATGCTTGTGAGATAGAAAATTATAAAAATAGTAGTAAACTCTCAGATTAAAATTAACGTAGGTTACTACTTAAAATAAAGTTTAATTATAAATTATGCGTTACGTTTTGAAGATTTATTTTATAGAGATATAATTTCAATTTAATAAAAAAATGAGTTTTATTAAATTAAGATTCTTAAAATAATAGAAAATTTTAGTGTGTCGGAAATATAAAAGATTTAAATGTATAAATGTTGAATTTTTTTTATTAAATAAGAATAAATCTCAGGGGTTTCAAAGCTACTAGTTGGGCGCCAATTGTAATAAACCAAAAATAAAAAGAAAGAAAAAGAAAATAAGAAAATAAAATAAAAATGTGATTGTGGTAGTAGTGGGGTAGAATAAGAGAAATAGTTAGTGGTAGTAGATTATTATAGATATTATTTATTATAAGTTTTGTAGTTTTAATATCTTCAGTTTTATTTAAATTAATTTTCACATTAATTATTTCTCTCATTAATTATTAATGGTTTATCACGCAATAGATTGTTGGAAGTTTGAAAGCATAGATTAAATTGTACTTACCTTACTTCCTGTGTAATACAATAATATTTCAAGTAATCCAGTGTTGATTTCCGCATTAAACGCACTACGTATACGATTTACACTATTCGCCATATAGTCTATATAATTACTTATAAAAACGATTTAAGATTTTTAAATATTATGATTTAATTACACAAAGTCCAAGACTGATCTTTCTTGTAAAAGATTCTACACACTCTATATCTTATTATAATGTAATTTATAATCTGTATTTATTAATTTTTTACGTGCGTTGAATAAATATTTTTTTTGAAAGAGTATTTTTTTTATTGAGAGATCGATATCAATATTTTTTAAATTTTCCTCTGGCCTGGCCAAAACAAGATTCAGAAATATCTATATCTATGTAAAAAAATTATCAAGGCAGAATTGTGGTGGCCCAATGTGTCCCGGCACTAGAAAGCGCCTTAAAAGGATGCGGCACAATAATCACCAGGATAAAATTTAAACACTACAAATATATTCGTAAGTTTCTCTGCGTTGTCTGCCAACGCGATGTTTCTTAAAAAAAAGACATTAGTAGATTTTGTGTCTTTAAAAATCGCTTTTTATAGTCTGAAGGGGTAGCCTAGCGATCTCTACCGTGATCCTTGAAGCTGAGGCTTTGTATTCTAATTGGTTAATTATAAAAAGAATCCTGCGTATGGGCGTTACTTAATTATTTCTACAAGAGGGAGATTTTTTGCATGATTAAAGGGTTATTTTGTATTTTAAATAAGAGAACCCTGTTTTAGTGATCTTGTATAATTATAATATGTGACATACATGTACAACAATAATAATGAATAGAAAACACAGTTTCTTCTCTATTTATTAAACTATCGTAGTTTTTAGGAAATCAAAAATGTATTTAATTCGATAAAATTTTGAAAATGAATATATTCAATGTTAAAGAATAATAAAAAAAATTGTTCAAATCAATTTTCGAGAATTACCCGGAATATTCATTAATAACCAAAAAGATTATCATATTATAATTGTAGCAGTATTTCTGGTTTGAATAACATTTCCATGGCAACCATTTATATATTTATAAATAATGATGATTTTCACATAAAAATCATTTTCGATCTAATTAAGTAAATCAATATTTTTTGATAAAAAATGGTTAATATTATTACACGAATAATAAGAATTGCCAAGAAGAAACTTGGGTTAAGGAAAAAACGCAATGGTAATTCTATGCACATTTGAACGTTTGCTAAATTTATTTTCTCTATTTATGATTAATTCTTACGTGTTACAGTCATTATAATTTTTTTTTTTACGTTATTAATTTTTATTTTATTTAGTCACCTCAGTAGATTATGGAACACAAACAAACAAATTGACAAATGATATAAACGGTCAAATAAAATCTGTTCCAGAAGCACATATTTTGGAGTCGCAGAATAAGGAAGTTCAAGACATTGCAGTTCAGACATCTTTATTAACCTCTGAGAAACTTACTCAGACTAATATTAAACTTATGTTTAATGTGTCTGAGACACAAACAGAATTGTCCTTACTGAATTCATTAAATTGTGAAACGCAAACTGACGTGTCATTAGAAAATATTATTTCAAATAAAAAATCTTTGCATGAGCGTCGTAATTCAATTTCAATATTAAAAAATTATATGCACACTGGTTCTCAGTGTTGTCTCTTACCTACTACAAACGAGCCCCTTTTAGACACTATAAAGAAATTACCTTTAAAAGGTATGTTTAATTTACAAGTATGAAAACAATTTTTTATTTCTAGTAATATTATTTAGTAAATAATTGCGTTGAGGAAGGAATTAATCCTTCAACGACACTTAATGACACTCAAGAAAAGACTGAACCGTATGTGACAAAAAAACACATAACCACTGAAGGTAAATTTGAACAAATTTCTAATAGAAATATCACATTAGTTGATGAAATTATAGAACATGATGATTTGAAGTCATGTATTTCGTTTCCTTTAGAAGCATCTAAAGAAGGTCGGTTTACTTTAAAATTGAATAGACATATATAATTTTCAATGATTAATATTGAATTTATATAAATAAAACAATTATTTAATAATTTATTTTGAATCGTGACAACAATCATTTATTTTTTCATAAATTATTTAGTTCAGNCTGTGACAACTATCATTTATTTTTTCATAAATTATTTAGTTCAGGAATACGTTCAAATAGACGTGTTAAATTTCTATAATTTGTTATTTATAAATGTACCTATAGGTTATATTTTATGATAGTAAAAAGAAAATTGTAAATATTTTAATTTATATTTTAGTAGATGCGGTGTATGATTGGTCAAATGCTGTAGAGGACTTCAATAAAACATACTTGGTAATTAAAAATCGTATATTCAATTTTTTTCTATTTAACTAATACTGAACAGTTTAGTTCTTAATGTTANCTTCTATTTAACTAATACTGAACACTTTAGTTCTAAATGTTAGACTTTTATTATCAAGCATAGTTTTTTAGAGAGGACTTATATTGATAAGTCATATTAATAAATAAATAATAATACTATTTAATAGAATGTAGGTGTAGTGAATAAGCAGAACGGATCTCAGGTCGACAATGGTCTACAATTATATACTCTGGATAATGTTCCTCAACTTCAATTAAGGAATATTTATGATTATAGCATGAGAGTGCTGTACTGTCAAGCAGATTTTTTTTGCATGACAAAAGTCAAAAATGAATAAATAATAAGAACTATGGAAAATATTATGAATGTATATTATAAACATACACAAGATTGTAATTTTAAACCACGACGTGATGAACTTTGTGCCGTTAAATATAGTAATCAACAATTTTAATTATTAAAATACTATGAAGATAAATAAACTTCATACGGATTTATGATAGACATTTGATTAGTCAACTAAAATAATTTATTAGTACCTTTTTTCTTTCATATGAGTGCATCGTAACTCATAACATTCAAACATTGTCTTTAATTGAGAAATATTATACCAAAAAAAAAAAAAAATTTCCATTATTTTCTTCTTAATATATCTATTTTAATTTAGGTGACGGTAACTGGTATAGAGGAGTTTGTACTGGTGTTGAAAATACCGTGGATGGAAGTCAATTTTATAATATTAATTTAATCGATTGGGGAGAAACGGTTTCTGTAATATCAGCTGAACTGCGTAGATTGGAAACGTTTTATATGAAACACGCGCCTTTGGCAGTTAAATGCATTATATCGGGTATCTATAATATTATTAGTTTATTCGTTGAAAACTCAACAATTTTTTTATTTTAGATCTCAAATTATCTAACGCACGTAAAAAAACTCTGCGAAAACTGACGAATAATGTATATAAATACAAAGTCAATTTAAGTCTTGGTACCCGTAACTATTTAATATCTTCGAAAACAATTCTGGACATATTACGTTATCGTTAAGATTATTGATATTCTGTTATGTATTATATATTTTTGTCCAGTAGTCAAATAATTAAGTTAACTTGTGTTTAAAGAAATTGTTTACTGCTTTCATTATATAATTTAAAATAATAATATTTACTTAGATTGTTTAAGATAAATTTGTATAATTAAAATATTGTATTCTATTTATTAGATCGTTTTCCTTTAATAATTAGTATTGAGATCTTGAACAAGGCAAATTAACAAAGGTACAAATAGACAATTGAAAAAAACATTGTATTTAGAGTTTCCTTGGATTACAAGTATTATTATAATTGTTTGAACGCAGCGGCCGGTGGTATTCACGCGGGTTCGTTAACGTTCGTGGTTTTGTTTTGTCTTAAGTTTTTAGCTATGTCGAGGATGAGGAATAAGGTGAGTGGACTGTATGTTTGAATGTAGAATGAATTTCACAAGATATAATTATAACGATTAAATGTATTATACAAGAAATATAAAATCTTATATACACCGATGTGGATAGGGGGGACACTTAATACTAATGCCACTAAGGCGATGATATAAACAAATAATAAATTATACAAGCGAGTGTTAGAAAGATAAATGAACAAGCATTATACTTATCTGCTAAATGAAACGGCTGATGATAATGTTGAATATTGAAAGGATCAATTGAAGTCGAATGCAAGTAGCTGACCAAAGTGTACAATTAGTTGTCAACGGTATCGTAAAGTATCTCAGAAAATATATAGACCCAACGGCGATGAACTGAGCGCACGGGGTACGACAATCGCAAAGGTGATATTTTCTTTTTACATTAAAAACGAATAGAAAAAAAACTGGCTCGCAAACGCCATAGAGCTTATAGCAGAAGAAGCGTTAAGATGGCGGCGACAATGGTGACATAGAGAGAAAACCGACAACAACTCGATGTAGCACAACGATAACATGATTAATCAAAAACACATTTTCTTGACAGCACATTCGATCGATGTGTATCCAACAATAATAATGAATAGAAAACACAGTTTCTTCTCTATTTATTAAACTATCGTAGTTTTTAGGAAATCAAAAATGTATTTAATTAGATAAAATTTTGAAAATGAATATATTCAATGTTAAAGAATAATAAAAAAAATTGTTCAAATCAATTTTCGAGAATTACCCGGAATATTAATTAATAACCAAAAAGATTGTCATATTATAATTGTAGCAGNTACCGGGGGTCGCTGCACAGTGATGACGTTTATAGTAGATCAAGTATAATGATATCTGACAGTAATTAAAATCACTATAAAAAAAAAGGCTTCGATGCAAATCTTTAGATAGTGCTTAATGTAAAAAAAATGGTAGTTTATTCCAAAAGCTACATGATCTGCTAGTTCCTTATTAATATCCTGATTACGATAAAGTATATCGAATGAAAGAGGGATTATTAAAAAATATTATTTATTATAAAAAAATTGTTTTGATCTATAAACTTTTCAATAAGTTATAGCATTATAAAGTTAAAAATGTAAAAAATAAAATCGAGAATTTTATACAAAAATAGAATTCGGTAGCCATTTTCACCGTGAAGACGAAATGAAGTCTGAATTTTTTTTTTGGTAATAAAGTATATTGTTGGATACACATTACGACAGGGCGTTTTGCTACATCTTATTTTTATGACTGATGACGTCTCTCGCAATACCACCACCGGTTGTGTAAGCGATTCACTACGTTGGATGCTAGTATACGTGATTATTGTGTCTCGCCGAACTATTATCGGTCCCTTTTGTGAGTTTTACGTTCTCGCCATCATTGCTAGCCCTTGCTACGTGGTTCTAAAGTGCACCAAGCTCATAGTCGCTTTATTGGCTTAACCACCCTGGTGATTCGTCGTGGGTTTAGAATTGCTATACCAGTCTATGCCATTGTGTGCCCTTTGTGTACATAACAAGTGCCTCCGTTTGTATCGACTACCCTTGTAGTCTTCAACATTTTAATGTAAAGTATCCCAACTGTTCATTTCTCACCGTCATCAGTCATCTTTCATCTATTGTACGTTACACAGTTAAGTTTTTACTTGTTTGTAATTATTATATTATATTTTATCTATTTTGTTCAGAGATGCCTTCTGTGCCAGTTTGTTATTAAGTGACCCCCCAATCCACAATTCTATGATAGTTTATATATATATTGTTACTTAAATGTATAACTCCTTGTCTTGTAATTCTTATTATTTCATATAGTGTAAGTACCATTCTCTTATATACAGTCCACTCCCTATTTTTTTCTCCGACATAATTAGACAACCCAACCGGACGTTAACTAACCCGCACATTATAACTGGGCGCTCTGTTCAAACATATAATACATTAGCTTTAATTTAAGTTATATATATATAAAACAGTGTTCCGGAACACTTTCAAAAGTTAAGTTGAAAAAGTTGTCATTTTAAATTCCTCGCTATGGGCAGGTAAGTGGACAGATTTATAAATAAAATACACCAAATGACAGTTAAGAATATCATTCATCTATTGAAAAAAAATTATAATGATATATTTATTTTTGAAAAAGTTATGGCACTTTTAAGTAAAAAAGTTGAAAAAATTTCGAAAATTAGCAATTTTAAAATTTTTTTCGTGGTTTCCCCTATTTACAGAGAACGAGGGAAATTTTTTCAATTTTGGAGGATAATATCATTGACTAGATACGTTTTGTGATCTTTTGACGTATCGTTGAAAGAAATTGGTTTGGTGAGAGCTGAGAAAAAGAGGTAACAGACACAAAAAAAAAAAAACACATCATAGTAAAACCAATACCTTCTTAGCTTTCCATTGAAGCTAAAAGTTAATTGATTCTAGTTAATTTTATTATGATTAGTATTTGAAAAATAAAGATTTTATAAATATTCTTATTTTTAATTATTTCGATTGTCTCCCTTATATTACGTTCATTGTAAATATTTACGTTTTTAAATAGTTTTATGGTTTAATGGAGATTTATTCTGATTCAGTAATCCATATTAAAAAAAAATACATTTAGCTATAATTAAACTTATAATAGACACATTATGTTGTAAATTGATAATATAAAATTTTATAAAATATTTTAATTTATTACACATAAATAAATCGCGGGATAAAGTATGTGAATATAATAGTTTGACTACTGTCACCGCATGCCTACACAACGGTACTAAGTGACGACTCGCCGCAAATATACATGGAAGTCATCATTGTGTTTATAGATTCATGATGTCTTTTCCTATCACTTTTTATATTTTAGCTTCGATGGGAAGCTGAGAAGTTATTAGTTTTACTATGATGTGTTTTTTTTTGTGTCTGTTACCTCTTTTTCTCCGCTCTCACCGAACCAATTTCTTTCAACGATATGTCAAAAGATCACAAATCGTATCTAGTCGAAGACATTAGACTCCAAAATTGAAAAAATTTCACTCGTTTCCCTTAAATGGGAGAAACCACAAAAAAATTACAAATTTAAAAATCGCTAATTTTCAAATTTTTTTCAATTTTTTTTATTTAAAACTACAAAAACCTTTTTCAAAATTGAACAAATCAATATAATTATTTTTAATAGACGCTTGATGTCTTTATCTATTATTTGGTATATTTTTTTTATAAATTTAACCCTTTACCTGCCCATAGGGGGGATTTAAAATGACAACTTTTTCACAAAAAATTAACTTTTGAAAGTTTTCCGGAAGGTCTGACACTTTTATATACATCTTAAATTAAAGCTAATGTAATGTACTTTATTATGGAAAAAAAAAATTTCGGACTTTATTTTATCTTCACGGTGAAAATGGCTACCAAATGTTATTTTTGTGTGAAAATTCTCGATTTTGTATTTTACATTTTTAACTTTATACTGCTATAACTTATTGAAAAGTGTATGGATCAAAAAAATTTTTTTATGTGAAATAATAATTTTTAATAATTGTAATACTATATTATTACATATAATATTAACATATAATGTGATTATATTCATTTGTACATGTATGTCACATATCAAGATTATACAAGATCACCAAAACAGGGTTCTCTTATTTAAAATACAAAATAACCCTTTAATCATGCAAAAACGATGATGAACGATGATATTTCGGTCAATATATATTGTATACATATATTTCAAAAAAATGACAAATCAACTTTGGTTGGTTGGGTTTGAACAAATTTTATTTGTTCAATAAATTAATTTTATGAAAGTACCTAAAATAAAATTAAAACTAGCCAATCAAAATTTTCATGTTAACTCGTTGCCATTATTTGAGCCTGCTCAATGAATTATAAAAATTTTAATTTTGAGAAAAAATTTACTCTGTAACAAAGAATTTATTTATTATTGTCATCAAACAATATTATAAATTCTTAGAAATAAACAAAAGAAAGAGGTATTTAGATGATCAAAAATAAAGTGCTCTTTTAAATAATGAATATTATAAATGTCAACTATTATATGAAATTTATATATATTATATAAATATGCCAGGTCGTATTTTGTTATATTTCGGTCCAAATTATATTACTAAACAATTATTGCATTAAAATATATTTGCATTGTTACTCAAATGAGATGTCGAACGTTAATAGGATTATTAAATAGTCAATATAAAGTCATTAATAATAATAGACAATATAAGTCATATAAATAATCATGTAAATTGTTACGAATAATTGGAAAAATAGAAATAATTTTCCATACTTATTGAATATTTGTATAACATTTGAATGGGTAGTAGATATTTTATTTTTTTGATCATTATGGATATATTATTTTAATTCCCACAAATAAATGTTGGATAGTAAAACTAATCGATAACGTACCATTTATATCAAAATATTTATTGTATTCGTCACATTCTGGGCATTTGGGTGCAACAAATGCTTTTTCATTACTTTTCTCAGCACAATTAACTCCAACTTTGTGCACGGTTACTTCTTGTAACTCTTTTCTACATATACATTTTTTTATAAAGTCTAAATAAATATGTAATCATTTTATTATAAAAATATTTTAAGTTAGAAATTATTGTTTGGTATTTGTTAGGAAAAAAATGCTTGACAAAATATTTAAAATTAAAAACGTTAATTTAAATATATTTTAAATTTTAAATAATACTAGTCATAAGTAATCAATTTTTATTATTTAATAAAATAAATCAAAAAATGAAAATTTGCCCATATTTTGATATTGAAGCGAACTGCTTCAAAATTTTATTTTGTCCATTCTACAAATTTGAACTAAATTTGTAGAATGGACAAAATAAAATTTCATTGAACATTAAATTGTTTGCGCAAAGATTACAAACTTTATGTAAACAAGGAATTAAAGTCACGAATTTTCTACCTAATTCTTGACAGATAGGACACTCTTTTTCATCTATAATTAATGAAATACTTAAATGGTAATGAACTAAAAGTTAAATTAAATATTTATAATATTTTTATTTTAAATAACATTAGCCACAATTGATCAATTATTGTTATAGAAGGAAATTATTTTACTATATTGATTTTATTATTTTTTTTTTTTTTTGTGTCTGTTACCACTTTTTCACAGTTTTCATCGAACTGATTTCATTCAATAATACGTCAAAAAAATACCCTCGAAAATGTAATATTTTTTAATGGTTTTTTTTAGCTAAGGTAAATCATTTTTAGATCAGCAAGTTAAGCTAGTAAAAATTTTTGTCAAAAAGTTCAACCTATCTTTATTATAAACTTATATAAAAATAAATTAATAGAACCAAAAAAATATATTAAAAATTAAATTTTGCACATATTACTTTTCACGTTTTAATAATTGAAATTAATAATAATTGGAAAAAAAATATATTTTTGTAATAATTATTTTTTAAAATAAATTCTCGTTTTTTCTACTAATTAGCAATAATCTAATTGAATTTGAATTTTACGCAAATATATTTTTAGGAAAGTACATTTTTTTCTCTCATGAAATATACCTTCTAAACTTGTATATTTATTCATAAGTAACAAAAAATATTTTTTTTGAAAAGTGTTGCCTCAAGCCTTACAAGATTTTATTCGTTAGCCATTGAAGTGATGAAATATACAGCTCTTTTATAGTTTGTTATTATAAATTATTTTTATTATATAACTCATTTCAATCACAAATTTTTGTTAAAAAGTAT